CGTGGCGCCAGCTCAGTGTGATTGAGTGTCACAAATGATGATTGGATGATGATATAATTGATTTGGAAATAGACGGTGGCCTTAGTTGCGTATTCTTTATGATGATTCTACTTAATTGTTATCATTTAGTATTGTGCTTTCCCCTATTTGCTGAGTCCATTCCTGGTTTTAAAACTAGAGTCTCTTAAGTATATATATCTTCCTGCTTCAAAATGATTTTCATATATCTATATATATCTATCTATAATGTATTTCAACGCGTTGGAGTGGGTTACCGGCATCTCTCGCTGAACAGATATATTTGGCTTTCAGGTACAGATGAGTAGATCCCAGAGCGTGCTAGAGATCCGAGGCATAGAGTAGCTAGTTCCCTTTCGGCCTGTGTGCCATGATTATGTATCGACGTTATTTGAGGATTTTAGTTAGTTAGCCTGTGCACCTGAGTTCTCTAGCTCAGGTGTCGCATAGCACCCCATACTCTTATGCTTGATTTTGAGATTTAATGAGGAATTACCTTTATTATATAAGTTTTAAAAGTTTCAAAATTTCGGGGTGTTACATCAACCTTCATATTCCAATGCTAAGCCCTACACACAAAAATTTGAGGAGTTGAAAATGCCATAACCCCTAAGTTCCAGCAATTCGATGGCAAGGGAAACCCTCGACAGCACATTGCCCACTTTGTGGAAACATGCAATGATGCAGGGACGTACGGTGATCTGTTGGTAAAGACATTTGTCCGTTCATTAAAGGGAACTGCATTTGATTGGTACACCGACCTCGAGCCCGGCTGCATTGATAGCTGGCATGACATGGAACGTGAGTTCCTAACCCGCTTCTATAGTATAAGGAGAACAGTCAGCTTCTTGGAACTCACCACTACTCGCCAATGGAAGGGTGAACGCGCCGGTACCTACATCGAAAGATGGAGGGAACTATGCTTGAATTGCAAAGAAAGAATATCCCAAAGTTCTGCAATTGAGATATGCATCCATTACATGCACTTTGAACTTTCCTATATCCTACAAGGGATTAAGCCAAAGTCCTTTGAGGAGTTATCCAGTCGTGCTCACGACATGGAGTTGAGCATATAAGCTAGCGGAGGGCTCAACATATTGAACTTGCCTAGCTCCTCCAATGCACCTGGAAAACAAGAAGTTAAAAAGTGGAACAAACCATTTCCAAAGAAAGAAAAAAAAGAAGTGATGAATGTGAAGGCTACACCTATGACAGTCTTCACTAAGGCAACTTAGAGGCCTAGGCCAAGATCATTTTCTAGCCCGTCAAGGGGTGGTAGAAGGCCAACAATTGAAGAAATACATGAGAAGACTTATCCTTTCATGGATTCTGATGTGTCTCCCATGTTCGATGAGCTGCTCAAACTTGGGCTCATTGAGTTGCCAGAAATGAAACGTCCTGAGGAAGCTTCAAGGGTGGATGATCCACACTATTGCAAGTACCATCGTCTTCTTGGTTACCCAATTGAGAAGTGTTTTATCTTCAAAGATAAAGTAATGGCACTGGCCAGGGATGGGAAAATTGAGCTTGCCGATGCCAAAGCGAGCTCAAATCAAATCTCGATTACACCCGGACAGTTCGCCCCGCTGTGTACTAAAAAGGAAGATGGGAAACAACAGAAGCATCCACTCCCCTTCATTGTTAAGCATGTTGTCAGTTAAAGTTCAGAACCACGGCAGAATGATAACACATCCGAAGGAAAATGGGTGATTGTCACTCATAGAAAGAAGAAAGTTGAGCCTCTGAAGCACCAAAAGCACATAGTGAAAAGTTGGATTGAGAAAACCTCAACAAATACCCATTCCCGCAAATCAAAGACGAAGGGGCATGTCAAACAACCACGTGCACCAGTTCCTTTGGCTCAATATATGCCAAAGGGATTTAATCTTCAAGGGGCGGGCATTGCTGGCTCCTGCCTAAATACAAATGACAAACCAGAAGATGGAGGGGAATGTTCATCTTCCAAACACATTGAGGATGAGGAAGTGCTAATGCATGAGGCTACTTCCTACTCCACAGAAATTACCTTCAAGGATGAAGACTTGTTACTTGGAGGCACGCCACACAATCGCCCACTGTTTGTTGAAGGCTACACCCGTGGGCAAAAGCTCAAAAGAATTATGGTTGATCAAGGCTCAGCTGTCAACATCCTATCCCTCCGAAAGATGAACGGCCAGATCCGCGTCTGCGTAGATTTTCGGGACCTCAATGTGGCATGCCCGAAAGATGACTTCCTGCTTCCTATCACGGAGTTAATGATAGATGTCGTGACTGGGCATGAGATCCTGTCATTCATGGATGGCTCCTCCGGTTACAATCAAATCCGCATGGCGCCGAAAGATGAAGACATAACTGCATTCCGAACGCCGAAAGGCATCTACTGTTACAAAGTAATGCCCTTTGGTTTGAAAAATGCAGGTGCTACATACCAACGGGCTATGCAGACAATATTTGATGATATGCTGCACAAAATGGTTGAATGCTATGTAGACGACCTGGTTGTGAAGTCAAAATTGCGCACAAATCACTTGGTGCATTTAAGGCAAGTCTTCGACCGCCTACGGAAGTTTCAACTCAAAATGAACCCCTTCAAATGTGCTTTTGGGGTTGCTTCTGGAAAGTTCCTCGGGTTTACTGTTCGACACAGGGACATCGAGATTGAACAAGCTAAAATTGATGCCATAATGAAGATGCCTGAGCCGAGAAACCTTCATGAGCTTAAAAGCTTACAAGGGAAGTTAGCTTACATCCGAAGGTTCATATGAAACCTAGCGGGAAGATGTCAACCTTTTAGTCGATTGATGAAAAAGGGCATCCCATTCATATGGGATGAGGCATGCAAGAACGCATTTGAGAGTATCAAGTCATACTTGATGAAGCCGCCTGTGCTAACCACTCCTGTTCACGGTCGCCCACTAATCCTTTATATCTCCGCCCAAGACAGTTCCATGGGCGCCTTGCTTGCTCAGGAAAATGACAAGGAGAATGAGAATGCTCTCTACTATCTTAGTAGAATGATGACCCCGAATGAGTTAAAGTACTCCCCAATTGAAAAGCTATGTTTGGCACTTCTGTTCGCCATCAGAAAACTTAAGCACTACTTTGAGGCTTATACCATCCGGCTTGTTTCCAAAGCGAACCCAGTGAAGTATGTTATGGCGAAGGTCTTCCTTTCCGACCGCCTTGCAAGGTGGTACTTATTTTTTCAACAATTTGAAATCATCTATGTGTCGCAAAAATCTCTCAAGGGGCAAGCCTTGGCCTATTTCCTAGCAGACCACCCAATACCTGCTGAATGGGAGTTGTTTGACGATTTGCCTGATGAAGATGTGCTTGTCATTGAAGTCCTACCCCCATGGAAGATGTACTTTGATGGAGCTTCGCATAGAGAAGGGGCAGGAGCTGGAGTTGTCTTCATCACTCTAGAAGGCTTGGTGTTGCCATATTCATTCACCTTGACCGAGCAATGTTCAAACAACGTTGCTGAGTATCAAGCATTGATACTTGGGCTCGAGATAGCGGCTGACATGAAACAGCTGCGGATTAACATTTATGGATATTCAAAGCTGATCATAAACCAAGTGTTGGGTCTATATGAAGTGAAAAAAGGCAGAGTTAGTCCCATATAACAACTATGCAAAGATACTCATGCAATGGTTAGGGGACGTCACAATTGAACATGTACCGAGGAAAGAAAACAAGCAAGCTGACGCCTTAGCCGCATTGGCTTCAACTATTGCTCATCCTACAGCCCGAGTGCGAGTATGTCAAAAGTGGGTAGTTCCACCAATCTTCAATGAAGACGGCTCAGTTGATGAAACTGTTGAACTCCCTACTGCCTCAGCGTATGATATTAGCAAAGACGACTGGAGGCAATCGCTAATTGACTACCTCGCTGATGGAAAGTTACCTGAAGATCCACGTAAGAAGGTGGATATAAAGCGTCGAGCTCCTCTCTTCATCTACTATAAAGAGACATTGTATCGTCGTTCATTCGAGGGAGTCTTTCTCCGATGCCTAGGGGAAGAGGAAGCTTTACACGCTATGCAAGAAGCTCATTCTGGGGTTTGCGGTGCACATCAATCCGGTCCCAAGTTGCACTTCCATATTAAACGAATGGGCTATTATTGGCCTACAATGGTAAAGGATTGCATAGACTATGCTCGAAGGTTCCAAGCTTGTCAATATCATGCAAACTTTATTCATCAGCCACCACAACCTCTACATCCAACAGTTGCATCTTGGCCATTCGATGCTTGGGGACTTGATGTAGTTGGCCCAATTACACCTAAGTCATCTGCAGGGCATGCATATATACTAGCTGCCACCGACTACTTTTCAAAATGGGCTGAAGCTGTAGCATTGAAGGAGGTGAAGAAAGAAAATGTTGCAGACTTTCTCCGTGTCCACATCGTCTATCGCTTTGGTATCCCGCGATATATCTTAACAGATAACGGGAAGCCCTTTGACAACAAGTTGATGGACAAGATCTGCAAGCTTTTTGACTTTAAGCAGCGAAACTCATCAGCTTATTATGCAGCTGCAAATGGGCTTGCTAAAGCTTTTAACAAGACCCTATGCAATTTGTTGAAGAAAGTGGTCTCAAAATCGAAAAGAGATTGGCATGACAGAATGGAATAAGCTTTTTGGGCGTATAGAACCACATACCGCACACCTACTCAAAGCACTCCATACTCTTTGGTGTATGGTGTAGAGGCGGTCTTGCCTCTAGAGTGCCAAATACCTTCCTTAAGGTTGGCTATACAGGAGGGTCTTACTGATGAAAAGAATGCTAAGTTACGCTTGGCTCAGTTAGAAGCCTTGGATGAAAAACGTTTACAAGTGCAACAAAGCTTGGAGTGCTATCAAGCTCGCATGTCTAGAGCTTTTAACAAAAGGGTAAGGATCCGTTCCTTTCAAATTGGGGACAAAGTCCTAGCTGTTCGCAGGCCCATCATCGTCACGAGAAAAACCGGTCACAAGTTCACTTCAAGGTGGGATGGTCCCTACGTGATTCTAGAAGTTTACATCGGTGGGGCTTACAAACTGATTAGTGAAGATGGTTTGAAGATCGGTCCAATTAATGGAATGTTCCTAAAGATTTACCACGCTTAAACTTGGGGTGTCAACACAAGTCGTGGAAATATGATGAACGACTCATCCACCAAAAATGCAGCACGTGGTTAAACTGCTAATGTATCTCACTTTGTCTATGGGTAGGCCCAAATCATAGATGCTCCTGGCCCGCATGAGTCTAAACTTTGAACGGCTCTACTTTGTAAAAAAAATCATTTGAACTACGTTTGACTTGATCTCCTTGATAGGAGTACGTAGGCAGCTTAGAATCAAATTATCTAAGTTCAGTCATAACAGAAACAAGTCCAATTCATGTTGCAAGAGTGGTTTATCAAGACAATCATTCAATGGGCCAAAGCAAAGATGTACAAGTTATTGCTAAAAGACAATGAGAAGCACTCAATTATCAAGAGTTGAGGAAAGAAACAACAACAGTCTTGCAACCAAAAAGAAAAACGACTAAAGGAAAAATAACACCAGTCAATGAAAAACTTAAAGGTAAGCATGTCATGTTTACATGCCTCCAAACTTCTCTTGGCCTCATTCAAGCTCTCCCCATCTTTTGGAGCCAACAGAGTCAACCCTTAAATGAGAGAGACTTCTACCTTGGTATTTGAGACTAAATTCGCCTCAGAAGCGATAGAAGTGTCATAATCACAGGCATAGGGGCAAACCTTTCATGAAATCTTAAAGGAAAGAAGCTACAATTTTAAAGGAAAGAAGCTACAGGATACTCTCTGGCACGAGTCGAAACAGATACTCCCTGGCACGAGTCGAAACTGCCTCATATCTTTCAAGACTCCTTTGATGCATATTATATATATGTATACACAAGCAAACAATAATTGTGTGTATATATATACACACAATACATGAAAATCAAGCACATGAATTATGTGTTATATATACACCCACGCATCGCATGCTGGTGCAAAACAAAAGCATCAAATATATATACATGTGGACCGCACACATTATATATATATATATATATATATATATATATATATATATATATATATATATATAATTTTGCAATTCCTCATTTTAAGTAAATTAACAGAATTAGATGACTGATGTAGATTACTGATTGATTCAGATAAGAGACCAATCAGTAATGATAAATCATGAAGAGAGTATAAGAGAAAGATAACCGCACAAAAGCCAAAGACACAGAATGTTTACCCAGTTCGATACGGTGTGTATCTACGTCTGGGGGACGATCACATAGGCGTCCAATCCACTAAATCACAAACCAATGTACAAAGGTAGATATACAATAATCTTACCCAAGTGCCCCACACAAGGTTCAAACCCAGTCTACACAGGTCTAGTGGATTGTTGAAGATGGAGAGCCATGCATACAGAAGCTTAATGAAATCCCTTCACTTGGAGAGCCCACTCTGATGCAGTCCACTTCAATGACGCTCTATAAAGTTGTTCCCACAACAGTGTGATCACAGTGTCCTTTCGTTTAAGCAGCAGTAACTCTCCTCAAGTTCATCATCTTAATCACCGTGAACATATTGTATTGAGAAGATACATGACAATCAAAGACCTAGTCTCATATAGCAGATATGAAGTACTTCTTCTTACTTTCGGCGTAACCCTAATTCTCTTCGAATAAGGGTACTTATATATCCTTCAATAACCACTCTCCAAAGATGTCTTTGATTGTAGAAGGTAGGACTATAAAAGAGGAATGTAATCTCAGAAGATTAGGTCCATACCTTTCTTGAAAAAATACGCTGATCATCTTTCCATATGAGTCTGATAATACCGCGTAAGCCTTTTAAGAAATCAGCTTCCTAAATCAGATCTTCAGTGTCAGTCCTTCTGTTGTTGCTTTTGATTGATCAATTATCTGTAGAGCTAAACAGACAAACTCTAAACCTATCTTAGTATGCCATAATAATATTACCAATTATAATATGGGGTTTTTGAACATTTAAAAACACTAACAATATATATATATATATATATATATATATATATATATATATATATATATGCAAACAAAATACACGTGTATATTATATATAAGTTGTTTATGCATAGTGAGTCGTGTTTATATATTATAGGTATATATACATATATGTAATTCGCACAATCAAAGCAAATTAGTGCATTACATATATATTATTATATACGTATATACACATCTACACAAAATATATGAAGCAAATGGGCATGAAATAGTGGAGCAAATCACATGCTACATATATACACATGTTCTTGCACACTTCTCAAAGTAAATATCAGTGGACCATGCATGTGTACATTCACGCCAAGTGGAGTATACATATTAAAAAAGGACAAGCCATATTATATATATACACCCACATCATGCAAGGCAAATCGCATGCTACATATGTATAATGTATTCATACACACCACCCAAAAACAGCCCTATATATGCATAGCCATAATACATGCAAATCATATCAAATTACATATATATTATTATTATATATACACATGCACCCAACACAACCTGTGGACCGTGGATGTGTATATATTATATATATGTAGTGCTAGACTGCTAGTACGTGGAGCAACAAGAAGAAAGGAGCAAAGGACACGTTATGTGTGCATATAACATATTTCCACACGCAAAGCAGGGGAAAAGGCATAGGAATGTGCGAAAGTAAATGGCGCATAGCTCTAGGCCAACTCTGTCCTCTCAATATATATATGTGATTTACCCATGACAAAATTCAAGTCACGGCAGAAAGTTCAGGAAGAAAAAACATAGCATATATTCAAAGCGGTCGTGGTTAAGCAGAAAAACAAAAGAAATTCAAAGCAGTGAAGCAACATCTTACTTGCTTGGCTGGGGAAAGAGTTTCACATGCGTGGCTACGTTCGGAGTAACGGCGATGTCCCAAGAGCTTCTTTCTCCGTTGCCTTCTCCGGCTGCGTCTGTTTCATCGACGAGTACGGCGGCGACAACGATGTGAAGGAGTAGGTGCCCGGCGACTGGGTCTTCTTCCAATTACAGTGTCCGACGGAGTCCGAGCAACGATAGAAAACAACCCAGGAAATCAATTCCTAGGAAGCTCCAGTCCAATGTTTGTGACGATGGCAACTTCCGTAGTGGTTCCTTTTCCGAATGCAGCGACGGAGACGTGCCTGAGCAACGTCTGAGGCGGGTCCCTACGGCAATAGTGCCTATGACAACAGGAGAGGCGTGCCGGAGCAAGTGGCCATGGAATCAAGTCCAAACAGCGATGGAGGTCATTCCGGTGATTCCGTTTCCTTCATCGCCAAGTACGATGAGATTGGAGAGGCACTGTCCGGTGACAACCATGGCGAGGGTCCAAATAGCGGTGGAGGTCATTCCGGTGATTCTGTTTCCTTCATGGCCAAGTACGATGAAAATGATGAGAGTCCAAACAGTTCCCGATCCCGTGTTTATGAAAACGACAAGAGTCCAAGCAGTTTCCCGTGTTTATGAAAACGACGAGAATTCAAGCAGTTCCCGATCCCGTGTTTATGAGAATGGCAAGAGTCCAAGCAGTTCCCGATCCCGCGTTTATGAAAATGGCGAGAGTCCAAAGTCCAAACAATGGTGGAAGACATTCCAGTGAAAATTCCCAAGAGCCCAAACAGTGGTGAAGGTCATTCCGAAAAAAATGAATTTCCAGAAGTTCCAGATCATTGTTGGTGAAGATGGCGAGCCAAGCAAAGGTAGAAACAAGCCCGAAAAAAAAAATTAATCTTGGGGTGTTTCTTGTCCAATGCCTCTTGTTCTTGATTCCTCTGTCTTCATCCCTTCTAATGAAAGCTGCAAAAAATCTGAATACACGCATGCATATATATATATATATATATATATATATATATATATATATATATATATATATATATATATGGGGCAGAAATTAATGTTCCGAAGTTACCTGAAGGTTGTCGTGCTGCTCTCGGATGATTGGGGATGCAAAGCAGTGGATATGAGCTATTATTTATAGCTATAGAATGAGGAATTTGGATGTGTCTGGACTCCAATTTTGTTATTTAGTCCATATCAAGTTCTGATTTGGTGGTTAATTATGTGGCTGGAACCTTATGTTAATAGAATTGTGAATGCAGAGAAAGGCTGATTGTATGGTGGAACTATAATCGAGGTCCACGCACGTCCGTCAAGCAAGTCCTACTGGATATGGTATACGTAAAATTGGGGGATTTGGCCAAAATTATAATTTATAAAGGAAAAAGATGGGCCTCTAATGAGATTCAGAGATTGTTTACGCAATTATGAATACCCCATTTAAGGACATTTTGGGCGTGGCTTGGAATTCAATTGTCTCTGGATTAATCAACCTATTTGGGGTATAAAAAATATAGTATAAAAGACTATAATGGAGTGTTATGGACTTTGGACATTGGGCCGTTGTTCTATTATAAGTCTTTTCAGTCGAAATGTAATTTATTGGGCTGTTATATACAAGGACTAATACGGTTAATTTCGAGACTACCTTCCCTTTGCGTTTAAGACACGTCAAGCAAGTCTCAAAGGGGCAATTTGTTAGCATTGAAAATTTAATTGGACGGATTTGCGTGTTATTGGGCCGTGATGGATATTTAATCATGAAACTTATTACTTTAATTAAGCTAATTAGACTAATATTTATTTAATTGGGTTAATTAAATGGCCCATTAAATATTTAATTGGTTTAATTACTTAATTAAATGTAATTGGATGTTTGATTGTTCGGTCCAAGGTGGAATATTTAATTGAGTTGGACCAGGCCGTTTGAATCAATTGGATTGCATAAATAGCGAGCTTGACTTGGTCTTGGCCCACTAAAATTATATGTGGATTATATGATTTTGAGGAATTTGAATATTTGATATTATTTGGAAATTTAATGCAATGATGAACCTGGACGCAATGGTGTCCCGATACATTCCTTAATTTAATTAAAATAATTAAATTAAATTAAGGGATAGAGTTGGTTAGAGATTTCTTCTCTACACTCACCACTATATATAGTGGTTTCATTTTCAAGAATGGGAGCTCTGAAAATTTGCATATCGAAGCTCTGCCGAAATCTCTCCAGGATATCGTCTGGAACACGCCCACAGTTGTACTGCGTATACCGCGCTGAGGAACACGCCACTTGAACACTGGAAGCCATTCTTTGAAGATCAAGCTGCATATTAGCCCTTCAGTGAGGAACAAGCTACTAACTCCGGAGGCCCTTCAGCAAGGAACTACTCCAGTTCAGCATACTCCCGAACTCGGCATACTTCCAGTTCAACATACTTTGAACTCGGCATACTTCCAGTTCGGCATATTCCCGAACCCGGCATACTTCCAGTTCAACATACTTTGAACTTGGCATACTTCCAGTTCAACATACTTTGAACTCGGCATACTTCCAACAGGGAACTACTTCAAGTTCAGCATACTCTGAACTCGGTACACTTCCAATTTGGCATATTTCAAATTTGGCACACATCTAATAGGCATACTTCTTGTAACACCCCGTGTTACGGCCTTCAATCCCGAATTAATTATTTAATTAATTCCGTTAATAATAATTAAAAAGGATTTAATTTGATTAGGATTCCCTGTAATTAATTAATGTGGTCCACCATGGATTGTGGACCCTTGCCTAAACTAGAGTTTTAAGCCCATTAGAAATAAAGAGGGTAAACCTTGTACTAGTCAGATTCTAATTAGGAATCCTAGACCTATATATCTATTAGGAATAAAGAAAGTAGGCCTTTATTATTCAGATTATGATTAGGATTCCTGATTCTATAAATAGGGGATTAGAAAGCAATTAGAAACCTTACCACCCATAATTATATTACACGAGAATATTCCCGGGAGATTCCCCACCACCGAGCATAGGGAGATAAAGCGGATGGAAATCTTAGAAAAGAACCTTAATAGCCAAGGGAGGATTAATTAAGGCTACGAGGTAACCCATGTCTCAACAAAACCTATTTTCCTTGCTATATTCTCCTTCTTTGGCTACCTCTATATGCTTGTGTCTTGATGAATTCCTTTATGATATTTTTGATATAATCTTGTTGATTGATGTGATGATTTTATGTGTGATCTTGATGATCTTGATGTTAGAAAGAGGTTCTTGATATTTATTTGATGATTCTTGATGAATCTTGATGATTCTTGATGATAAAGATAAAATATGATTTTTGATGATTTGGATGGGATTAGAGCCCTAGGTTGGGTTGGGAATTTGCATTATGATGTTCTTGATTTATACTTGGGCGGGAATCGCATGTTCGGGCGTTGTTTATGTTTAGAAGTCATGTTAGGATGTGTTCGATATGATTCTTGCTTTTAATCCATTAATTGCCTACGTGGTGTCGTTATTTACGTTTAAAAGCGTCTAAGCATGGTTTCGGGTTCCACAAGGGATCCCGGGACGCGTATTTGATGAAAGAGTCAGTAGGGGGTAGGTGGGGGTAGGGGTACCAGCCACCTACCCGCTGCCCGAGAATCATC